CAGAAATTCAGAAATTCAGAAATTCAGAAATTCAGAAATTCAGAAATTCAGAAATTCAGAAATTCCGAAACTCAGAAACTCAGAAATTCAGAAATTCAGAAATTCTAAAATTCTAAAATTCTAAAATTCAGAAATTCAGAAATTCAGAAATTCAGAAATTCAGAAATTCAGAAATTCAGAAATTCAGAAATTCCGAAACTCAGAGGCTGAGAGATTCAGAAATTCAGAAATTCTAAAATTCTAAAATTCAGAAATTCAGAAATTCAGAAATTCAGAGATTCAGAAATTCAGAAATTCAGAAATTCAGAAATTCAGAAATTCAGAAATTCCGAAACTCAGAAACTCAGAAATTCAGAAATTCAGAAATTCTAAAATTCTAAAATTCTAAAATTCAGAAATTCAGAAATTCAGAAATTCAGAAATTCAGAAATTCAGAAATTCAGAAATTCAGAAATTCAGAAATTCAGAAATTCAGAAATTCAGAAATTCCGAAACTCAGAAACTCAGAAATTCAGAAATTCAGAAATTCTAAAATTCAGAAATTCAGAAATTCAGAAATTCAGAAATTCAGAAATTCAGAAATTCAGAAATTCCGAAACTCAGAAACTCAGAAATTCAGAAATTCAGAAATTCTAAAATTCTAAAATTCTAAAATTCTAAAATTCAGAAATTCAGAAATTCAGAAATTCAGAAATTCAGAAATTCAGAAATTCAGAAATTCCGAAACTCAGAAACTCAGAAATTCAGAAATTCAGAAATTCTAAAATTCTAAAATTCAGAAATTCAGAAATTCAGAAATTCAGAAATTCAGAAATTCAGAAATTCAGAAATTCAAAATTTAGGAATCCATCCTTAGAACCCGACAACGTCAACAAATTGCTGAGCTTTTCAACGTGTTCACCATCGAATTTTCACATCCAGAATTTTTTGTGGACGCCTGAAATTTGAAATTTTCAGACAGAAAAATTTTTTTTTGACTGAAATTTTTTTTGGCTCAATTTTCTTTGGAATTTGTTTGAATAAAGCTTTAGACCTTTTTTGAAGTGTTATTATACTCCTAATAGAATCAAGGGTTACTGTAGATTTTTGAAAAAATAATATATCAAAAAAACATTTTTCTGAAAGTCATTTTTTCCAGGAAGATATCCTAAAAATTCGACAACGTCAAGAAATTGCAGTGGTTTTCAATGTTTGGAATGTCAGATTCACACATTTGGAGTTTATTAAAGATGTCAGAGCTTAAATGTTTTTTTTTCAAAAAAATAAATTTTTACGAATTTCTCATTTTTGATGATCCAAATCTGTTGTTCCAAATGGTTGAATGTCCATTATTTTGACATTTATGAGCAACAATTTTAAGTTTCGAGATACCAAAAACTATAATTTCAGATGGGTTGAAAACTGAAAAATTCCTCACACTTGGACATATCAAAAAGTACAAACTACATAGGATTTCATGGATTAGGTGGGGGTTTTTTTTTAATTTTCAGAAAAAAATTCTAACAAAATTTTTAAAAGTTTCCAAAAATAACTTTTACTATGAATCTCAAAAAGCTCTGTGTTTCTCAGAATTTGATGGAAAACAAACACCCTGTTTTTTATTAATTACATATAAATCTAGAAAAAAAGACAATTTTTCTAGAATTTTCCTTTTTCTTGTTTTTCTTTTTCAATAATTATTATTAGCAGTCGGTTTACGCCCCCACCGGGGCAAAACCTCCTGGGCTCCGCTTATAGTGCGTGTAACCTTATTGAAAAGTTTTCCACTTTTGCTCAGTGACTATTTTTTAAAGGTTTAAACTCGGAAAATTGGAATTTCAAATATTCAGTCCGAACCCAGGAATCCGGAATCCGGAATCTGCACCCAGGAACCCGGAATCCGGACCAAAGAATCCGAAATCCGAACCCGGAAATCCGGAATCCGGGCCCAGGAATCCGGAATCCCAACTCGGGAATCCGGAATCCGGACCCAGGAATCCGGAATCCCAACTCGGGAACCCGGAATTCGGACCCGGGAATCCGGAATCTGAACCCGGGAATCCGGAATCCGGACCCAGAATTCCGGATCCAGATCCCTTCTCCGGTCCCCTCTCGGAAGCTCCGAGAAGGGAGTACTGATTCTTCCTTTCACTTCTCTTCTCCTTATCTCCGTAACAAAACAAACATTTTCGCTTTTAGATTCTTTGAATATCTCTTACAGGAATCGAGATATACTTGATCAAAGTGGCAAACTCTGTTCAAAAATCAAAAAAAAAATGCCTTTTAGCGGACTCGAACCCTTGACGCGCGGGCATTTAGTTGCATTATTGACCAATTTGAGCCTCAAAATGCTCCTGAGCTCCAAAAATAATTTTTTCTCTACTATGAATCTCAAAAATCTCTGTTTTTTGTGTTTTCATTCTCAGAATTTGATAGAAAACAAACCACGCTGTTCTTTATTATTTGTTCTAGAATTTTCTTTTTTTCTTGTTTTTCTTGTTTAATAATATTAATAACCAGCTTGCTGGTGCGCCTACGGCGCGATTTGACCTAGTTTATTTTACTTATTTTTCTCACAGGGTCACGTAAGTCAGTCATATAAGAAGGAGCGATTTTCAAAATTTTCAATTTTCATCCCAAATCACTTCGATTTCCAAAATTTTCAGTAAAA